GCGGGGCGGGTTGACTGCCTTTTTGTAAAAATTTCAAACGGAGTGGTGCGGTTTTTGGGTTGAAACCATTAAAGCAATCTGCTCTCTTTTTTGCTCTTATTAATATATTAAAAATTAAAATGCTTCACCCAATTTTGTTTGTCTATTTCTAATAAACTGTTTTCTTTGTTTGTATTTTTTGTGTTATTTTGTGGGATTATCAACTCATTTTCTATAAGACCCAATTACACTAATTCAGTGTATGACAATTTTTTCTCGAGATGGTGACAATTTAATTGATAAATTCTTAGCCTAACTAAGTCGTTGATTTGTTTTTCTTTTATACTAGTATTGGTATATATTTAGCAACTACAGAATATTAGTAAATGCAGAACAACGAATATGAGGCTCAAAATATATTTTGCAATCACGCTTCATTTATATTAGCATATTAGTAAGGGCACTAATAACCTCTCCACTTTACAGAATAACAAATTATTTTACTTATTTGTCTTAGTTAAATAAGAAAATGAAAGAAAAAAGAAAAATAAAACTTATGCGGGGTAGGGCGGGGCGGGTTGAAAGTTTTGCGGGTTTAGTCCAAACTCGCCCCGCACCCGCCCTGCCCCATCCCGCCCCACTGCCATCCCTACTCTCTATATTGTACTAACAATAACAGGGGAAGTTGTAAAATATATATACAAATGAAGAAGCACGATAAAAGGGGAAACAAGTTACTTTTACATACAAACATGAAACATTGAACACTGAACATGAAGAAAAGCAAGAATCATGGGACAATATTTGAGCTTCTACATTCAAAAGCTAAAAGAATCACTTGCTAAGTATAACTTAACAAAATGTTGACGAGAGGAACTGGCACAGTTGGCGAGGCGTCTGCGTCTCCACCTCCAACCAATAGGTCGGGGTTCAAAGTCACATGAAGAGTAAGCGGGAACTGCTATAGATTTCTTATGAGAAAAGCAAAACTTTTACAATAATGAAGAAGAGGAAAGGCAAAACATATTATACAGTCGAGGCACCTATCGCTTCCCTTCTGGTGATTTAACTTCCAATAGTTCAATATTCAGGTCGAATGTAGCACCTGGCTGCACCATGTAAGTTGAATGTTCATTAAGTTTCGGAAACAAGAGAGTTAAAGATAATCGATAAACACCAATAAAATCAAATAAAATATTGTGTATATTCAGCCAAGAACTCCTAGTGGAAGTGTTTCTAATCTGTAAATAGATTTTTCTTCCCCTATTTGGTGAGCGGAGCTATTAATGAACAAAAGTTTACGCTGACTTTGGCTATAAGGGCACAAGAGAGACAAGTAATCTCTAACAACTATATACTACTCCCTCCGGTTCACAATAAGTGACCAATTGCACGCCCATTAAGAAATATTCAATTCTATACAAAAATACCTACTATGACTAAACTACCCCTAATTAAACATTTAATGTGAGGAGTAAGAAAACTTTTTAGGGATATGTACATAGGGGTTATTTTGTAAAAACAAATTGAATTCTTTCTTGATTACATAACTGGGCACTTATTTTGAACCAAAATGAAAAAGCAAATTGGTCACTTATTGTGAACCGGAGGGAGTATAACTGGTCGTGTCAAGAACTTTGGTTGTAGATTCTACACTGAACAGGCAAGCAAAATTTGTTGTTAGGCCTTGGAATGAATACCAGGATTCTGATGGCATTTGAGCAGAAGCTACTCTGTCAAGATAAACTCACTTCTAACGGAATGGCATTTAACAAATACAGTGAACTTATCAAGCTTGGTCGCCTGAGATTTCTCTGAATAGAATCGAACCACAATAATAGCTTTGCTAACTAACATAACAAAGAAGTAAAAAAGAGGTGTGGTTCATACCGGAATCTCATTCATCCCCCTTGAGCCATACCCAGCTTCTGGAGGAACGATCACAGTCCTCTGTGCAAAAGAGACCATAAGACAAGCGCAAGTAATGAGGTAGCTGTTAGTTATGTTACAACTTTGTTTAACTTTCTTTTTCAGAAATCAGAGTTTGCACAATTTCTAGACAGAAACAATTAGAATTAAAATACGTGTTAAGGCAAAAATGAAACATCATCACACCTTTCCTCCAACTTTCATCCCTTCAGTTATTGTATACATTGCTTTTGGAGGTTTTGGAGCTGCTTGAGCAGAAAATAAACCATTTGGATTGTCCACAAAATCACGTTTCCGCTCTTTCCCTGGAGGAGCTCCAACCTGGAACTCATAAGGCTACTTCAAAGAGTAGAAAAACACATGTATCAGTGACGAGTGTAAACCAAGGGCATCAATACAAGTCCATTAGTAAGATATTCCTGGTCATAAGTCATCACAACATACCTGTGAAATTATACGATTTCCAGCCAACAATTTGGATTCTCGACTTGAAACTGCAGTAATATTACGATATAGACATTCAAAATGTACCTGCGGACGTGGGGAGGGAAGCCAGAAATAGGTCAATTTCAATTGAAAGTCAACGCGTGTGCAAATTA